AGTTCAGGCCCCACAACTGGACCAAAAAAAAAAAAAAAGTTGTAGCTATTAAGCTAACTGCTCATCTGCCCAAGCACAGGACAAACAAGAAATTACACTGTGTTACTAAGTGCTGTACATTCCCAATAATCTGAACTTCTTCCCTTCAGCTCCATTTTTTTTTATTGTTACTGCCTATTTCAAGTCCTTGGTGGGCCTTTTTTCCACCTAAATTATTTTAGAAGGCTTTGTAAGAGTTTTCAGTCTTAGCAAGGCACCAGTGGCTCATGCCTGTAATCCTAGCTACTCAGAAGGCTGAGATCTGAGGATCAGGGTTCAAAGCCAGCCCAGGCAAGAAAGTCCATGAGACTCTTATCTCCGATAAATTACTCAGAGAAAGCTGGAAGTGGGGCTGTGGTTCAAGTGGTAGATCACTAGCCTTGAGCAGAAGAGCTCAGGTGGAGTTCAACCCCAATGACCGGAAAAGGAAGGGGGGGGGGGAGAAAGAAAGAAAGAAAAGAGAAAGAAAGAAAAAAGAGAGAGAGAAAGGAAGGAAAAGAGAGAGAAAGAAAGAAAGAAAAGGGCTGGGAAGGTGGCTCAGTGGTAGAGCGCTTGCCTTGCATGCCTGAGGCCCTGGGTTCAATTCCCCAGGACCACATAAGCAAAAAGAAAAAAGCTGGAGGTGGCGCTGTGGCTCAAGTGGTAGAGCACTACCCTTGAGCTGAAGAGCTGAGGGACAGCACCCAGGCCCAGAGTTCAGGCCCCACGATCGGACACCCCCCAAAAAAAAAGAAAGAAAGAAAAGAAAAAAAAAAGGGCTGGGAAGGTGGCTCAATGGTAGAGTGCTTGCCTTGCATGCCTGAGGCCCTGGGTTCGATTCCTCAACACCACATAAGCAAAAAAGAAAAAAGCCAGAAGTGGAGCTATGGCTCAAGTGGTAGAGTGCTAGCCTTGAGCTGAAGAGCTGAGGGACAGCACCCAGGCCCAGAGTTCAGGCCCCATGACCAGACTCAAAAAAAAAAAAAAAAAGAAAGAAAAGAAAAGAAGGAATGAAAGAAATGAGAAAGAGAGAGAAAGGGAGGGAGAGAAAAAGAAAGGAAGGAAGGAAAAGAAAGGAAGAAAGGAAAGAAAGAAAAGTCCCCCTGAAACTCTTATCTCCAATAAACTACTCAAAAAAGCCAGAAGTGGTGCTGTGGCTCAAATGGTAGAGTGCTAGCCTTGAGCTAAAGAGCCCAGGGACAGTGCCTGTTAGGATCCATCACAACCATCCCAGGGGACCATGCAGGGGCAGGCAGGCACAGGAGAAAGATTATTATAAGGTTTATTAGGGCTGGGCATGTGGCTTAGTGGTAGAGCGCTTGCCTAGCATGCATGAAGCCCCGGGTTTGATTCCTCAGTACCACATACACAGAAAAAGCTGGAAGTGGCGCTGTGACTCCAGTGATAGAATGTTAGCCTTGAGTAAAAGAGGCTTAAGGACAGTGTCCAGGCCCTGAGTTCAAGCCCCAGGACTGGCAAAAAAACAAAATGAAACAAAAACAACAATAAGGCTTATTAGAGGGGCCATATCTCCCCTGGAAGAAGGAACACTGTGGCATCTGCCTCTATCCAGGTAGGTAGCTCTGGGGATAGTGGTGAGGTGAGTGGGCAGGTAGGTAGCTCTGGGGATAGTGGTGAGGTGAGTGGGCAGGTAGGTAGCTGTGGGGATAGTGGTGAGGTGAGTGCGCAGGTAGGTCTGGGCAGAGAGAGGGAGTGGCCAACCATATGGCAGGAATGCTAGGGCAGAGAGGAGCTCAGGTCTGGGTGAAGCTGATGACTGGAGGTGAGGATAATGCTAACTGTAGCTAGTCCCTGAGTTCAAAAATCCCAACAACCAAAAAATAAAATAAAAGTCAATCTCTCCCAGCCTAATTCTTTTTTCATACTTTACCAGTCACACTTTTTTTTTTTTTTATCATTTTTCTTTTTACCAGTTACATTTTTCCCCCCAGTCCTGGGACTTGAACTTTAGGCCTAGGTGCTGTCCCTGAGCTTCTTGTCCCTTGTTCAAGGCTAGCACTCTACCTCTTGAGCCACAATTCACCTCTGGCTTTTTTGAGTACTTTATTGGAGATAAGAGTCTCATGGACTTTCCTGCTCAGGCTGGCTTCCAACTGCAATCCTCAGATCTCAGCCTCCTGAGTAGCTAGAATTATAGGTGAGAGCCATTGGCACCCAGCTACCAGTTACCTTTCTAAAACCTAAATACAAGTTTGAAGCTAGGAGCCCACACTTGTAATCCCTAGCTACTCAGGAGGCTGATAAAACAGAATAATGTATGGAATCTAAGGCCTAGTGAAGGCAACTCAGAAATTATGGTATTTATAAACATAGAGGTGCTGTCTTTGCTTCAAAGAGAGACAACAGGATGTATTCCTTCCTAAAGGGTGCATTCTTCACCCAGGGATTAATAACTTTCTCACCCAAGGATTAACAACTGTCTGATAGATGTCCCAAAATGCAGATAGCAGGACACCTCCTTGTCTCAAGGATAGCGATCTGTTTTATGGCAAGATAGATTCTTACTTGGAAACACAGAGAATAACACCAGGTGTGATTAGAGCAAAGACAAAGCACCTAGCTATACATAAAACCAGACCCCCTACCTTTACCCTATAAATACCCTAATAGTCCAAGGAACTATGTCTTTCTGGGTGTCTCATGTGTGTATCTGTCTCTATGTCTATGTCTCTCTGGATCTGTCTCTGCCTCTGTGTGTGGGTGCATGCGTGTGTGTGTGTGTGTGTGTCCCTATGAGAGTACCCACACACTGCTAGAGTGTACCCTTGCCCTTCTGTTTGTCTGCTTTTTTGTCTGTTTGCAGGACTGCTTATTTACTTACTCAATAAAGCTCTCCAAGTTTTTTTTTTTTCCCCCAAGTTTTCTTATCATTGTGACTTGTCCAAAAATTCTTATTCTGTCATTGAAGTCAAAGACCCTAAGTGAAGAGTTTCTATATTTAAAAGGAAGCTTCATGGCTGGGGAATTGGCTCAGTGGTAGAGTGTTTGCCTCGCATGCATGAGGCCCTGGATTTGATTCCAGTACTACAAAAGCAGATAAAAGCCAGAAGTGGCATTGTGGCTCAAGTGGTAGAGTGCTTGCCTTGAGCTGAAGAGCTGAGGGACAGTGCCCAGGCCGAGTTCAGCACCCACGACCAACAAAATAAATAAATAAATGGAAGCTTCACTAAAGCTCACCTCCATCAGGCAACAGCTGAGATCTGGTTTGAAGCCAAGCCAAGAAGGAAATTCCAGGAGGCTCTTATTTCCAATTAACCACCTAAAAGCTAGAAGTGGGGCTGTGGTACAGGGTTAGCCTTGAACAAAAAAGCCTAGAGGCCTTACCCAGGTCCTGAGTTCAATCCCTAATACCCATACAAAAACAAAACAAAGGGGGCTGGGAATGTGGCTTAATGGTAGAGTGCTTTTCCTGCCCGGGGTTGGCTTTGAACCTCGATCCTCAGATCTCAGCCTCCTGAGTAGCTAGGACTATAGGCGTGAACCACCAGTGCCTGGCTCCCCTGAGCTCTTTTGCTCAAGGCTAGCACTGTACCACTTTGAGTCACAGCTCCACTTCTGGCTTTTTTGGTAGTTTTGAAATAGGGTGACCTGGTCTGGCCAGCACCATCTTGGCCATGTGGAGGATGATAGGGTCTGGCATCTTGTCTTCATGGTGGGGGAAGGTGAAAGCACTGGCTGATAGTTTACTAAACCTGTCAGTCTAGTACCTGGGCCTGGGAATTCCCTGTGGTCCTGCCCCCTAACCCAACCCTATTTAGGTCCATCTCAGGAGCCAGGATGCTATGCCACTTGTCTCCATGTTCATATCCTGTCTTCTATCTCCTGGTTCTTCTCTGGTCACCATGGTGTCCAAATTCAGATCTCCATTGGAGCTGTATTGGTTTATTGGCATTTTTGTTCTTTCTTTCCTCTCTGGCCTTTATGCCAGTTTTTTAACAGTGCTAAGTGTATTTACTGGCTGCTGGTCTTTGAGACAGGAGTCTACCAGGCAGTTGCTGGCCTTTTAATAAAGACTCTTAAGATCTGACATCTCAAAAATGTGGCTTTTCCATTTTCTCATCTTACAACCGTTTATTGGAAATAAGTATTCTAAGGTCTGAGTCAGCTTGCCAATGATTAAGGGTCCACCCTGTGTCCACCTGTTTATAAAAATATGTTACAATTTCCGGATACTAAGCCACATTCCCAGTCCTAGTTTATACATTTTTTAAGTCTCAAAACACAGTTCTCAAATGGGTTACAACAGGCCCAGATTGTCCCCTTCTCTTCTTCTCCAGACACCCCCCCTCCCCCTACAGGCTCAAGTTTCCTTTAGGACAAAAGGTAGGAGACTCTTTGCCGAGGTTATTTTTAGGCTATGTTTGGAGAATCAGAGAGCACCAAGTAGGACCATAGTCAGGTTTCCCAAATAGTGACTAATAACGACAATCCTTTCTTCTAAACCTCCAGAACGAAATAAGTAAATCACAGATATTTGAACCAAAAGGCTAAAAGTGCGTCAGGATGGAAAAAGACACAAGGCGTAAGAGCTGACTGGCAGACTGATCCGGCGCGCCCCGGGTCCATCCCTGCCCCCTCGAACTTCCGCCCTCAGCACCCCAGGGACTCTGACTGGTCCAGGCCCCGGAGCTAGCTGAGCACGTGGTAGAGCACGGTACCCTGGGGGCGGAGCCTAGGGGTAGCTGGGAAGCGACGCAGGACGTGCGTGCGTGCGTGCGTGCGTGCTCGCTCACGGCGGCGGCGGCGGAGCAGAGAGGCCAGAGCCGGAGATCGAACTGGGATCGGGCCCCGGGCGGGGGCGGTGCGAGCGGCGCCAAGCGGATCCTGGGGGCGGGGACGGAGCCGGGTCGGGCGGGACTGGAACGGAGCCCGGGAACGGGGCGGGAGGTCCTAGGGTCCCGGGTTGGGGGGGTGGAGCCGCACTTCGTTGCCGCGGGGGTGCCGGGACTCTCCGGCCGCTGTGCCGCCGCCATCACGGACTTCCTGTGGGACAAGCGCACGGGCCTCGCCGCCAGAACGGTGAGCGCGCGGACATACGGACCACGGCACCGCGCGGAAAAATGGCGACCGTGGGGCGGGCGGGGTAGGATTGGATTGGGGGCAAGTGATGGAGGCGAGATTAGGAGCGGAGGAGGGTTGAACTTTGCGGAGCTCAGAGTAAGAAGATGAAGGAGGTCGGCATGCCTTAGGTGTACTTGAGAAAGCATGGAAAACTTGGGAGGGACCAAAGTAAGAGAAAGGGTGGTGAGGTAGGCATAGGAGTTGCTCAAGAGATGCAAAAGAACCTGGTATTGAAGTTGGGCTAAGTAGTCCAATCCTAGCCTGAGAAGTATCACTTGAAGCTTGCTGGAAGAATTTGGTGCTAGGACCGAATTCCGTGTCTCTGGATAGGAATGGAGGCCGTGAGAAGGCTTAGAAGTTGAAGAAGGTAGCCTAGAGATGTTGTGTTTTTCCTGCAAAGGCCCTGTGAGTGTCTTCAATGGCAGTGTGTTCTTTGTAAAATAGCATTTATATAGTTTTGCTAATCAGCGTTGGATTACCTAGAACAATCTTGTGCTTCCATTTTCTTGGTTTCCTTCCAGCTCTATTTGAACAAGATTGTGTCAAATTATCATCCTCCCCAATTTGAAGAGGTTGGGAAGAAGTTGCCCAGAATGGGAGCCAGATGTTGAAGTCAATTTTTTTTCTTTTTCTTTTTAATTGGTCGTGGGGCTTGAACTCTGGGCCTAGGAACCATCCCTGAGCTCTTCAGCTCAAGGCTAGTGCTCTACCACTGAGGCACAGCACAACTTCCGGTTTTCTGGTGGTTAACTGGAGTCTCACTGATGTTTCCTGCCCAGACTGGCTTTGAACCTGGATCCTCAGATCTCCCCCGAGTAGCTAGGATTACAGGAGTGAGCCATGGGTGCCCGGCTATGAAGTCAAAACTTTCCACATATGATTCTCCCTTTCCCTCACCAACATTTCTGTCTCTGGGCCTTTTTCTTTTTTTCTTTTTTTTTTGCCGGACATGGGGCCTGAACTCTGGGCCTGGACGCTGTCTCAGCTCTTCAGCTCAAGGCTAGCGCTTTACCACTGGAGCCACAGCACCACTTCCGGCTTTTTCTGTTTATGTGGTGGTGAGGAATCGAACCCAAGGCCTCATGCTTGCAAGGCATGCACTCTACCACTGAGCTACCTTCCCGCATGCACTCTACCACTGAGCTACCTTCCCAGCCCCCTCTGGGCCTTTTTCATCTGTCCTGTTCTTTTCCCCGGTTATGACTGATTTCTCTCCAATTTCATTCCTTGAGGGGAAAAACAGATTTGTGGATCATACTATTTCCAATGCCATTAACTTGAGCCTCTCAACTCTCAGCCAAGTAGTGCTGATATTAGTTTAAAACCATTTATTCTCAAATTCATAAATATAGTAAGGGAAGGGCTAAGTGGAAAATTGACTATACTAAAACCTCTCATGATGGATTTGGCCAAAACTATGAGAGGGCCAGACCTAAACCCCTAGAATATGCTAGTATTTAGTATTTGTTTTATATATACATTTCTGGGGAACTAAATTCTTGGCCTTGGGGCTATGATAATCAAGATGTACTGTTAATGACTGTAAAACATAGCTGTGTAAACTAAAGCTTTATTCTGTTGAGTTGTGAGGAACTCATGATGACAGAATTGCATATCTGAGGTTTTAGCAGGGACAAACTGGCCATCTGCATCAGCCACATTCCCTCACCTCTAATGATCTGTGGCTCAGACCTGAAAGTTTTCATGGACCCATATTTGAAGAGGATGAACATAGAGTAGTTTGAAGAAAATAAATGTAGAACAGTTGAACTTAAGGGGCTTTCTAGAGTTTGCAAACAAAATTTGTAAGTGACTGTATAGTCCCAGGAAGAAAAAAAAAAGTAACAGAAGTAGAAATTAAAGATCAGAAAGCAGTTTGTCAGAACCTTTGGAACAGCCGCTCCTCAGAGGAGACTTTGAGAAACTCAAGAATTTTCCCTACCATTTTCACTTATCCTTTCCTTCCAGATGCCTCATCCCCGAAGGTACCACTCCTCAGAGAGAGGCAGCCGAGGGAGTTACCATGAACAGTATCGAAGCCGAAAGCATAAACGACGAAGAAGTCGCTCCTGGTCAAGTAGCAGTGATCGGACAAGGCGGCGCAGGCGGGAGGATAGCTATCATGTTCGTTCCCGAAGGTGAGAGCTCAAGAAGAGGGCTGACTGTAGGCCACTAACTTGGAAATTTATTGGTTCCATGCTAAGGACACTGGGTTAAACAGTTAGCAGTGGATAACAAGTTGTATAACAAAGCTGAATTGATGGCACACTTCTGTAATCTCAGCACTGGGGAGGCTGACTAAGGCAAGAGGATCAGAATTTGAAGCCAGCCTGAACTGCATAGTAAAATCCTGTCTCAAGAAACCAAATTGACCCAAGTCTGGTGTCTTACGCCTGTAACCCTAGCTACTCAAAAGGCTGAAATGTAAGGCTCTCAGTTCAAAACGAGCCAGGGCAAAAAAGTCCCCATGAAACCTTTTTGTTGTTCTTGTGGGGTTTGAACTTCTGCCTGGGCACTGTCCCTCAGCTCAAGGCAAGTGCTCTACCACTGAAGCCACAGTGCCACTTCCAGTTTTCTAGTGGTTAATTGGAGATAAGAGTCTCATGGTTTTCCTGCCTGGGCTGGCTTTGAACCACAATCCTCAGATCTCAGCCTCCTGAGTAGCAAGGATTACAGGCATGAGCTGTGAGACTCTTATCTCCAGTTAACCAACAGAGAACTAGAAGTAGAGCTGTGACTCAAAGCCTTGAGCAGAGAAACTCAGTAACAGTGCCCAGATCCTGAATTTAAGCCACAGTATTGGCAAAAAGTGACATCTGAGCTTGTCTTGAGGACAAGTATGAGTCAACTGTGAGAACTGTCTTCCGGTAGAGGGAAAGTATATACAAAGACTGGGCACTAGAGGTCGCTAATGAGCTAGTATGTAAGAGAAAGCTAGGTCTGCTTGATTTAAATAATTTAGTGGAATGTTCATTGAAAGGATGGAGTAGGTAGAGCAAGGCTGGGTTTTAGTTAGGAATGCTGAAGAACAAACTAGCCCTTTGTTTCTTTGTATCACATGAGAGAAGAAGTGGACATCCGAAAGGGAGTGGCTCAGCCCAGAGTGGTGGCTCACACCTGTAATCCTAGCTACTCTGGAGGCTGAGATCTGAGAATCTCGGTTCAAAGCCATCCAGGGCAGGAAAGTCCCTAAGAGAGGTGCTGTAGCTCAAGTGGTAGAGTGCTAGCCTTGAGCTGAAGAGCTGAGGGACAGCGCTCAGGCCCAAAGTTCAAGCCCTATGACCAACCAGCAAAAAAAGAGAGAGGGGGCGGGGGAGGCAGGCTCCACAGATGCCATTTTTATAAGGTGAAGGTGATAATCCCTACACTATGGAAACCTATTTGCAAATCCCTTTTTGGAGGCCTAGGTAATGTGCTGGTATAGGAATCCTCTCTACTTCCTCACCTTATACCTCTGGTTCTTATTCTTTAGTGAGGCAGAACCTCCTCACCATGGTATGGCAGAGAATGTGGCTTGAACAGGTAGACCTGATGGGAGTTTGTTATCCATCAGCAGCTATGATGACCGTTCACCTGACCGGAGGGTATATGACCGGCGATACTGTGGCAGCTATAGGCGGAATGACTACAGTCGGGATCGGGGAGAGGCCTACTATGACACAGACTATCGGCATTCCTATGAGTATCATCGAGAGAACAGCAGTTACCGCAGCCAGCGAAGCAGCCGGAGGAAGCACAGACGGCGGAGGAGGCACAGCCGGACGTTCAGCCACTCGTCTTCGGTGAGTGTCAGCCCAGGCCCTTTCTCTCCCCACTCTTCTTCAGGCCCTCTGGGACCGTGGTAAGTGAGAAACATCCTTGTTTTCAGCTGAGCATTAGGGCATGAATGTTGAGGTGGGTTCTGAGTCTGCCTACCCTCTTAGAAGCTCTCTGACTCTTGAAGGGCCTTGGAGTCCAATTTGGAGATGGATGGGCATGAAGCCCATTGTGCCTTCCCTGGCATGTTGGGCTTACTGTGTTGGGAGCAGCTCCTCTGCCCTGGAGGCCACCACTTTTTGATGGGGACCTTGTTTGTGAACTTTTTCTCCCAAGCCCTGGGCTCCATGGCCCCTCACAGGCGAGCTTGGGTGGGGGCAAGGGAAGACTTATGCCTGCCTGAAAGGGCATTGTGTAGAGCATGGGGTTATGGGTGACATTGGCAACAACATCACTTCTCTGCTCTGCCCAAGCCTCTCCCTGTTCCCGTTTTGGGTTTGGGGACTTGGGATTGTGCGCCACTCTCTCTTCTCACACGGATCCGCCTTACTGCATCTGACGTGTTCCCTTCCACTGTCCCCCATCATCGTCTGTCCCCCCTGGCTGGGCGCCTGTGACCGGTGGCCCCTCCACCACCCACCCCGCCTCCCTCCGGCCCCCGCTCCGACACCTGGCTTGCTCCGATCCCCCCCGCCCCCCGACAGCAGCACAGCAGCCGGAGAGCCAAGAGTGTAGAGGACGACGCTGAGGGCCACCTCATCTACCACGTCGGGGACTGGCTACAAGAGCGATGTACAAGCCAAATCGTAACAATCCTATAGCCTTTAATGGTCCCATAGCCATCCTAACGTCCCAAGCCAACCCAAGTCACAGCCTCTTTTGCCTTTTCTCAGTGGTGTTGTTCATCTGGGTGGTTTGAGTTGCTGTTGAGAATTGACCTCTGTTGTCCACTCCCAGCTCTCATGGCCCCTGGGTTTAAAGGTGGTGGGAATCATGCAGGGGTTTTCTTCCCCTGTGACCATCTGTATCTGTTCCCTTCATCTCCTCACCCCAGGATGCTATACCCTTTTTTTTCCTTCCAATTCAGCTCACCCCCTTCCCCCTTTTCTCCCTCCCTCTCCCCGACCCTGCTCTCTTTCATTTCAGATGAAATTATTAGCACCTTAGGAGAGGGGACCTTTGGCCGAGTTGTACAGTGTGTTGATCATCGCAGGTAACTGATTGAAAGACCTGTTCCTTCTTCACACTTGTTAGGTGAAGAGAGGGTGGAGGTAGCTAGGACTTGTGTTTGATTAGCCAAAGGCAGGATTTCTTAGTCCCCCCATTCAATCTGAGATATTCTTGAGAACCCAACAGAACTTTCTCTGCCCAACCTACAGGGGAGGTGCTCGAGTTGCCTTGAAGATTATTAAGAATGTGGAGAAGTACAAAGAAGCAGCTCGACTTGAAATCAATGTGCTAGAGAAGATCAATGAAAAGGACCCTGACAACAAGAAGTAAGCAAGCAAAGGGCTATGTGAAGATGCTAAGTTGCAACTCTGCAGGAAAGATGGGTTAGGCAGGCAGAGGAGTCTCCATGTTCTCATCCATTCATTTTTTATTAGCCATCTTAGAGTAGTAGAACATCAGGGTAGGAATAGAGACCTTGTGACATTCTCTAATGTATTCCTCTTGTTTTTAGAATAGTTAGATTGTTTTGCGGTTTGGCTCTTGATAAGGATATGGAGATAATACCTCAGACATAATCCTCTGGCAGAGCACCTGTCTTTGTAACCATAATGTGAATTTGGGCTAGTGATTTAGCTCAGGGGTAGAGCACTTGCCTGGAATGTTCAAGGGCCTAGTTCCATAATGTAAGAGTTTGTTAGGCACCAGTGGCTCCCATCTATAATCCTGGCTACTCAAGGAGGTAAGATCTGAGGATGGCAGTTCCAAGCCAGCCTGGGGCAACAAATCTGAGAGATTCACTTTCAGTTAACCAGCAAAAAGTCAGAACTGTAGGCATGGCTCAGGTGGTAGAATACCAGCTGTGAGTGAAAGCTGAGCTCGAGCTTAAGTCCCACTAAATATAAGACCTAGTACTAGCCAGGCACTGGTGGTTCACGCCTGTAGTCCTAGCTACTCAGGAGGCTGAGATCTGAGGATCACAGTTCAAAGCCAGCCTGGACAGGAGAGACCGTGAGACTCCTATCTCCAATAAACCACCAGAAAACCGGAAGTGGCGCTGTAGCTCAAGTGGTAGAGCGCTCGCCTTGAGCTGAAGAGCTGAGGGACAGCGCCCAGGCCCAGAGTTCAAGCCCCACAACGGACAAAAAAACCCCAACAAAACCTAGTACTAATGCGCGTGCGCACACACACACACACACACACAGAGCCTGGCACCAGTGGCATACAACTAGCTACTAAGGAGGCCTGTGATCCAGAGGATCATCATTTGAACCCAGCATGAGCAGAAAAATCCATAAGATTGTCCCCAAAATAATAAAGAGCTAGGCAGGTATGATTCAGTTTGTAGAGCACTTGCCTAGCAAGCACAGGTCCTGAGTTCAAACCCCAGTAATGCCCAGATTTTATGCCCAGGCTGGCCTTGAATAGGGGTCCCCAAGTCCATTTTACAGGATTATAGGATGAACCATCTCACATAAGAGTGAATTTTTGGGGATGGGAAGTGGGAGATGGTCCTGGGTCTTGAACTCAGGGCCTAGGCATTCTCCCTGAGCTTTAGTGCTCAAGGCTAGCCCTCTACTACTTTGAGCCACAGCTCCACTCCCACCTTTTTGGTGGTTAGTCAGAGATGAGAGTGTCATGGACTTCACTGTCTGGGCTAGCTTTGAACTGGGGTCCTCAGATCTCATCCTCCTGAATAGCTAGGATTACAGGGTTTTTTGTTTGTTTGTTTGTTTTTGGGGTCCGGTTGTGGGGCCTGAACTCTGGGCCTGGGCGCTGTCCCTCAGCTCTTCAGCTCAAGGCTAGCGCTCTACCACTTGAGTCACAGCGCCACTTCTGGCTTTTTTTCTTTTTTGCTTATGTGGTACTGAGGAATTGAACCCAGGGCCTCATGCATGCAAGGCAAGCGCTCTACCACTGAGCCACCTTCCCAGCCCAGGATTACAGGTTTGAGTCACCAGTATTAGCTTTTTTTTTTTTTTTTTTCTCGGTCGTAGGGCTTGAACTCTGGGCTTTGGTGCTGTCCCTGTGCTCTTCAGCTTAAGGCGAGTGCTCTGAGCTTGAGCCACAGCACCACTTCCGGTTTTCTAGTGGTTTATTGGTGATAAGAGTCTCACAGACTTTGCTGCCTGGGCTGGCTTTGAACAGTGATCCTCAGATCTCAGCCTCCTGAGTAGCTAGGGTTACAGGCATGAGCCACCAGCACCAAGCTAGCTGTTTTGTTTTGTTTTGTTTTTTTGGTCAGTCGTGGGCCTTGAACTCTGGGCCTGACCGCTGTTCCTCAGCTCTTCAGCTCAAGACTAGTGCTCTACCACTTGAGCTACAGCGCCACTTCCGGTTTTCTGGTGGTTTATTGGAGATAGGAGTCTCACGGTCTCTCCTGCCCGGGCTGGCTTTGAACCGTGATCCTCAGATCTCAGTCTCCTGAGTAGCTAGGATTACAGGTGTGAGCCACCAGCGCCAGGCTCTGGTGGCTTATTGGAGATAAGAGTTTCACGGACTTTCCTGTCTGGGTTGTCTTTGAACCGCCGATCCTCATATCTCAGCCTCCTGAGTAGCTAGGATTACAGGCGTGAGCCACCAGCGCCCAGCTAGCTGGTTTTTTTTTGAGACAGTGTCTCTATGTATCTCTGGCTTACCTTCTCCATTTTGAACTTGTAATACTCTTTTCTTAGCCTTCTAAGTGCTGAGACTATAGGAGTAGACCACCACCTCCAGTCTAGCATATACTTTTCAAATTATTTAAAATGTTGCAAATAATGTTTGCAAGTTTATCAACTAGTATCTTTTTTGCATGTGCCAGAGAGGCTATTTTCTAGTTGAACTGAATTTTGTTAGGATTATTAGCCAGCATGTTTTTACACAGTATGTAGAGTAAATAATTATTCATTTGGATGCTCATTAAACATCCTGCTTCCTCCTCTCTCTCTTCCCAGCCTCTGTGTCCAGATGTTTGACTGGTTTGACTACCATGGCCACATGTGTATCTCCTTTGAGCTTCTGGGCCTTAGCACCTTTGATTTCCTCAAAGACAACAACTACCTGCCATACCCCATCCACCAAGTGCACCACATGGCCTTCCAGCTGTGCCAGGCCGTCAAGTGTGAGTGGGGTGGGCCAAAGAGGACTTGGGAAGCCCTTCTGTTCATTTCTGTCTACCTGTGTACTGGGCAAGCCCCTAACTGATCAACTTAGCTGCATGGTTTTTATTCACTGTCATCCTGCATCTCTTCTGACTTAACTCCTTGAATGACATCTTCATTCATGGCAATTACTCTTATTCCACATCCAACCTAGCATGAGCTGGGAAAGAGCCTGTGAAATCAAAGCACTTAATTATGTTGTATTTCTTTCTCTTCTCTTCTGTGAGAAAGTGTGGGCTAGAGGTTTACCTTTGTTTGAAATTAGATGCTCTCTATTCATGGCAAAGTAGTTATGGATGTGAAAGAAATAGTTCAGCTAAGGGGCCAGATATAGGAAGTCCAGACAAGTACAGACTTCCTGAATCTTCACAGAAATGCAGTTTCACATAATTGAGTCTGCAGAAATGCAAACCAAGGTCAGAATTTAAAAACAAAAGAACTACCTACCTATACTACTCTTACCTTTTTTCCATAAGTGAGATACATATTTATATGTAAACCTTAGTCACAGTAGGCCTACTTAGGCCAAACATTTCACTTTTTTTGTTTTTTTGTTTGGTTTGTTCTTTGGTCTGTCGTGGAGCTTGAACTCTGGGCCTGGGTGCTGTCCCTCAGATCTTCAGCTCAAGGCTAGCACTTAACCACTTTTGGTTTTCTGAGTGGTTTATTGGAGATGAGAGTCTCACGGACTTTGGTGCCTGTGCTGAACCAGGATCCTCAGCTCTTAGCATCCTGTATTACAGGCGTGAGTCACCAGCGCCCAGCTTTCATTTGGTTTATATAGCACAGGAAGCACCCTCCAGTGATGTTGTGCCTCTGAGTGTTTAGCCTGTGGTCAGCTTGGTATCAGTTTGCTCTGACCACCTGAACCAAGTCTTACCTGGCCTTCTCCCCTACAGTCCTTCATGACAACAAGTTGACACATACGGACCTCAAACCAGAAAATATTCTCTTTGTGAATTCAGACTACGAGCTCACCTACAATCTAGAGAAGGTAAGATGATAAAATTCTCAAAAGGCTCATGGGGGCAGGCAGCTAGGCCACATGAGTTTTGCTTTCTGTTTGAACCTTTTGTTGTTGGTGGTGGTGGTCATTGGGGCTTGAACTCTGGGCCTGGGCGCTGTCTCTCAGCTCTTCAGCTCAAGGACAGCGTTCTTAATCATTTGAGCCACAGCTCTACTTCTGGCTTGTTCTCTTAATGTGGTGCTGAGGAATCGAACCCAGGGCCTCATGCATGCAAGGCAAGTGCTCTACCACTGTGCCACCTTCCCAGCCTCCTTTTTATTATTTTTTTGTTGGTCACGGGGCTTGAACTATGGCTTGGGTGATGTCCTGTACTCTTCAGCTCAAGGTGAGCGCTCTACCCCTTGAGACACAGCGCCACTTCCGGTTTTCTAGTGGTTTATTGGAGATAAAGAGTCTTATGGACTTTCCTGCCCCGACTGGCTTTGAATGGTGATCCTCAGATCTCAGCCTCCTGAGTAGCTAGGATTATAAGTGCCAGCCCCCTGCCCCCTTTTTATTTCTTTCTACCATATTTTCTTCCTGTCTGGTTCCAGCTTGTTAAAGCTGAAGTATTAGATAGGGTGAAAGGGAAAGATTTAAGAAGATGAAAATCAGGAGAGAAAGTGTAACATTTTGAATAGACTGAGAATGCTTCTTAAGAAACAGATGTGGGGCTGGAAATGTGCCCTAGTGGTAGAGTGCTTGCCTAGCATGCTTGAAGCCCTGGGTTTGATTCCTTAGTACCACATAAAACAAAATGCCAGAACTGGAGCTATGGCTCAAGTGGTAGAGTGCTAGCCTTGAGCTGAAAAGCTGAGGGACAACACCCAGGCCCAGAGTTCAGACCCCACTACCAACAATAACAACAACAAAAAAAAGTGTGTGTGTGTGTGTGTGTGTGTATTTCTTTTTTTTCTGTTTATGTGGTACTAAGGAATCAAACCTAGGGCTTCATGCATGCTAGGCAAGCACTCTACCACTAAGTCATATTCCCAGCCCCTGTGTGTGTATTTCTGTGACATAGGAAAGCTCAGCTCCCTTGAATAACTGGAAATACAAAAGCTTAACCTGCTCTCTATCACTTGACCCCTTTCCTACATGTTTCAGAAAAACTTCTCTTGAGTATATAGTCTTTCTGTATTAGAGACTGGCAAGCTATTCCATAATCATCCTTTAATCTACTCTCCCACCCCTAAAAGTACTAAAGTAACACTGTAAACTAGATTTTTCCCAGCAGTTTTGAGGCAAGCCATGATTGATTTTTTTGGGGGGGTCTGTTGGACTTGAACTCTGGGCCTGGGTGCTGTCCCTCAGCTCTTCAACTCAAGGCTAGCGCTCTACCACTTGAGCCACAGAGCCATTTCTGGTTTTTTGGAGATAAAAGTCTCTCTCACAGCCTTTCCTGGACTTTCCTGCTGGGGCTGGCTTTGAACCGTGATCCTCAGAGATCAGCCTCCTGAGTAGCTAGAATTACAGGTGTGAGCCACCGGCACCTCACTTGGTTTTGTTTTTTAATTGCTGATACTGGAGTTTGAACTCTGGGCCTTTGACATTGCTCTGCTTTTTGTTTGATGCTCTCCCACTTGAGGCATACCTCCAACTTGGCTTTTTGCTGGACAGTTTAGAGATTGAGTCCTAAGGACTTTCCTGCCCAGACTGGCTTTGTACCTCCATCCTCAGCTCTCTTACCTCAACCTCCTGAGTAGGTAGAGTTATAGGCGAAAACCACTGGTGTCAAGCCACCATTGCTTTTTTAAGCCTCAAGAGTACTTTAGAGAATGCTGGTAGAGTCTTAGTATATAGTGCAGAGGTTCATTCCCTTCCTGTTTTGCTCCTAGAAGCGAGATGAGCGCAGTGTGAAGAGCACAGCTGTGCGGGTGGTAGACTTTGGCAGTGCCACCTTTGACCATGAGCATCATAGCACCATTGTCTCCACTCGCCATTACCGAGCACCAGAGGTTATCCTTGGTAAGGGAAGGCAGGGTTGTCCAAATGTGTGAGGTGGTGTGAGGGTGGTGTCCCCTAAAACGCCTAACACTTTTTCCTTCCCATTCCTACCCAGAGTTGGGCTGGTCTCAGCCTTGTGATGTATGGAGCATAGGCTGTATCATTTTTGAGTACTACGTTGGCTTTACTCTCTTCCAGGTAAGTGGTTGGGTATATTGACTGCCTGGCATTTTTCTGCCCAGTTTCTTTGTGCTTGCTGAGGACATGCCTGCTCACTCTTCCATGTTGCCCAACTGGCAGCTAGTCCTCAGCAGTCTCTATTCAGACCCATAGTTCTGTCTTTTGTTTCCCAGACACATGACAACAGAGAACATCTAGCCATGATGGAAAGGATTCTGGGTCCCATCCCTTCTCGGATGATCCGAAAGACAAGGTGAACCTTGAGCAGAAGGGAGTTAACCCTTTTTATTTTGTTTCCACAGAACTGGTCAGTTTCACATAATTTTTTATTTTTCCTCAACAAATCTTACCCATTTACATTTACATGTGGAAATAAGGGAAATATCCTATAACGAGGGGAACCATCTGATTCCTCAACCTTCCCTTCCCCTCCAGAAAACAGAAATATTTTTACCGGGGCCGCTTGGATTGGGATGAGAACACATCAGCTGGCCGCTACGTTCGTGAGAATTGCAAACCTTTGCGGGTGAGCCAGGCTGGGGATCAATAGTGCCCAACCATCTAAAGTCACTTTCTTCTTAAGTTGGTTTGCCGTTGGAATGTACTCCACAGCAGAGTGTTAGGAAAGGAGGGGAGGAAAACTGAAAGAAGACATTTTTTGGTCAATAAAAGACAAGGAGTGGTTTTAATATGGAGGAAAAGGTTAGACAGCCTAACCTTCAGACTACAAGAGATCAAAGCAATGTCCTGGATTCTTTAGGTCAGGCAGGAAAGAATAAACTACTTTTGAAAAGCTTGCTTATATTTTAATGAGCTAAAGAATTCCTGATGTTGACAAGGATATACAAGTAGGAAGAACGTCCAAAGAATATGAAGGAGTGATTGTGCTAGTGGGAAGATAGGTTGAGGTATGATATCAGGAACATTGGTCATGGCATGGTCTTGGTAAGGCAAGCAAAGCATTGATTCTTTTGCCAGGATTGAAGAGTAGGGACTTGAAGAAGAAAGGCAGGGTGTATAAGGCATCCTGCCTCACCTTTTTCCTGCTCCCTCCCCTCCCCCCACCAGCGGTATCTGACCTCTGAGGCAGAGGAACACCACCAGCTCTTCGATCTGATTGAAAGTATGCTAGAGTATGAACCTACTAAGCGGCTGACCTTAGGTGAAGCCCTTCAACATCCGTTCTTCGCCCGCCTTCGGACTGAGCCACCTAATCCCAAGTTGTGGGACTCCAGTCGGGATATCAGTCGGTGACAATGAGACCCTGGGCCCCCCTGCATCACTTACAGCAGTGGGTGCCCAGTCCAGGACACTGGTGCTTTTTTATACAAGAGAACAGAGCCGGAGCTCATTCCCTCCTGGCTCCCTATATTCCTGTGAATATGTGAAGTAGTGTAAATATGACAGAACTTGTACCAATCACTTCAACCCTTGCCTTGTACATAATGCTATTCATCCATACACTTCCCACCCTCAATTGCCTCCCTCAAAGGTAGTTGGATGGGGGCAGATTGAGGTAACCAGGTGGCATCTATCCCATGTTTTATAAGGAATTTTGTACAGTGTTTGTGAAATAAAATGACGTGCTTCATCTGACCCCCATCCCTGGCTGAGTTTGGGTTTGAGAGGAATCCCTGTCACCCTCCAGAATGAGCTAGAGCAGGTACAGCAGTTTAGCCTGTCCTAGAGGTCCCAAAGGGTAGGATCGCATTTCTTGGAGGCTAACTTGGAGAGAGGTTATAGAATAGCATTTTTCTTACCCGGGGTAGTGAGGGCTGGGAAAGGGGCCTGCCTAATAGTCGTCAGGCTGCAAATCCTGGGCTTTTCGAGACCCGCAGAGGGTGGAACTCTCCCAACTTGCATCTTGGGACACTAGCGTGGTCAGGGTTCCTGCGCGAGACTACCTGGGAAATGTAGTTCGTTGATGGAGTGCTGTCACGTGAGCAAGTGCGGACTTTAGCTGCTGAGGCGGGCCTGGGCGTGTCACGTGAGGGTCTTCCATCTCGCTAAGACGCAGGCGCGACCAGCTGCTGCGAGGCTTCTTGTAGTCCTTCCGGTCGACTTAGCCAATCGGTGCACGGGGAGCCGAGCGGACAGAGGATAGGAGAGCGCTTGGAGAGCCACTGCCGCGGCAGGGGCGTGGAGGGTAGGGACTGGCCCAGTCCTCCGTTGCAAACATGGCTCAGAGCAGAGACGGCGGGAACCCTTTCGCCGAGTCGGGCGAACTTGACAACCCTTTTCAGGTGACTTGCGAAGGCCTCCTTTAGCCAGTCGGATTCATGAGTCTCCCTTGTGTCGGGTCGGGCAAACTACGGTTCACACTCGTCACCTTAGTCTATAGAAGTGCCGGCACGTGGGGGGTGATGGTGACTCCCGACCAGCGAGCACCTGGGGGCGGGCCCCGTCCTGTAAGGAGCTGGTAGTGGAAGTGAGATGTGACAGACTTGGAAGCAAATGTTGGGACCACAACGTGGCTCCAAAAGTGCAGTACTTGGAGCCAGGGGCAGTTTAGGAGGAGTCCTCCTAGGTTATGGGAGGGATTGAATGCCAGCTGAGCTCAGGTCAGGTCTCTGCTCTCAGGACCCAGCTGTGATTCAGCACCGACCCAGCTCTCAGTATGCCACGCTTGATGTCTACAACCCTTTTGAGAACCGCGAGGTAAGCTGCTGGAGAGGACAGACGAGCAAGAATGGGGAGAATGTGCCAATAAGCCCAGTCTGGGTACTGAGTATTTCCTGCATGCTGAGGAAAAACCGTGGTTGAAGCTCCCTGAGAGACACTAGTCTGGGGCTTAGGGGTCATCTGAATTAATCTCTAACAGTTTTGAGAGGGCCAGAGGGCAAGGTGTGAACCAGTTCTCTGGAAAGACTTCCTTAAAGAAACTTAAGATTGGGGCAGGTAGATGCAAGGAATAGAAGTAGTCTGTTGGACCCATTGAAATAGGAAAATGGTGGGCTTAACAAGTTAAGAATTGGATATGGAAATAAATATTTTCAGTTCTTGCTAAAGAATTGGAATGGGGATCAAAGAAACTAGCTTTGTAACTGGAACAAAGACTGCTGCCTTATGTCCTGAATTGTGGTTCTAACAATTTCCCAAGAGACACTAGATTCCTGTGTTCTAGGGACCAGACAATCTCTAAGGCCTTTTTCCCAACAGCCCCCACCTCCTTATGAGCTTCCTGCCTCAGCCCCTGCTCCATTACCACCACCCTCAGCTCCCTCCTTGCAGCCCTCCAGAAAGCTCAGCCCCAAGGAACCCAAGAACTATGGCTCCTACAGCACTCAGGTGAAGGGTGTGTACAGGTGGGGGCTTGGGAGAGGGACCAGTCATGAAGCCAGAGACTTACTCGTCCCTCTGTTCATGCTTGGTAGGCTTCAGCTGCAGCAGCCACAGCTGAGTTGTTAAAGAAACAGGAGGAGCTCAACAGGAAAGCAGAGGAGTTGGACCGAAGAGAGCGAGAGCTTCAACATGTTGCCCTGGGGGGCACAGCCAGTAAGTAAACTCTTGGTAGGGTAAGGAAAAGCATATATGAGTTTGGAAAAAAAAATACTAAGATCTGTGCATTTAGACTGTTGAGTTTGCATTGTGGAGATACTGTTTATTAGCCATGTGCTTCTGGGAAATTTCTTTGTTATTTACTTACAGTGCTAGAGATCTAATCTAGGACCTTGTACATACTAGGTAAGGGCTAATGCCACTGAGCTATGTTCCCAGCCTCTTCCTTGGTTACCTAATCTTGAGCACCTCAATTTCTTTATTTGTAAAATGAGAATATCTGGGCATTAGTGGCTCATGCCTATAATTCTAGCTACTCAGAAAGCTGAAATCTGAGGATCACGGTTCAAAGCCAGCCTGGGCAGGAAAGTCCATGAGACTTTTTTTTTTT